TCTTAAATTTTATAAAGAATATCTCTTTGGATTTGAGACTTTAGTCTTTGCAACTTTACAGATCTTCTTTATGCACCAAGAGCTTGTAACACTCCACAGAAAAAAGGAAAAATTGAAAATTGCATGACGGAGCGTGTCCATAGTGTCATAGTGTCGCCTGCCAATGACGTCTTTTGTAGAAAATATGGAAACACCAAAAAACGCTTTAATATGTTGTGCGTTTTAATAGACCGGTGACGACCATGTAACAGAACTTTCAAATGTATTTAGTATGATAAAACAGCGCTGCTTTTTTTCCCCCACATACGCGAGACCGGAAGGAGCGGAAGTGGTCAATTGTGGCATAATAAAAGCTCTGCTGCTTTCGAGCCGTGTGTCACGCTCGTCCAGCAACCTCGTTTCGCTTCAACAGCTTTCCGCCTCACCCTGCTTCATTCTACTACGTTAACAAATCATTAGCTCATCCATGAACATGATTTCTGCCCGAGTCCCGTCGGATTGCATCGGCTGTGGGGATGAAGAGGACAACTCCCATGATTCCACATTTTGCCTTTGCCTCTTGCTTATTTTGAATACACGCCCTCTAGCGGCGAAAATTATATATTGTGCCTTTAAGCAGCACAACTGTCTTTAACTGACAATAATAAGAAATGTTTCTTCAGCATACTGAAAATCCAGCTTTGCCATTGCAAAAATGAATTACTTTTTTAAATGTATTCAAATAGAAAACAGTAATTCTTAACTGTTATAACATTTCACAATATTACTGCTTTTCCTGCATTTTTGATCTAATAAATGGTCATGGTGATTATGAGACTTCTTTCAAAAACATGTAAAAAATATTACAGACCCCAAGTTTAAAAAAAATAAAAAAAAATTGTATTTTACTGAATATTTAATAGATTTCAGCTTTTAAAACCTCCAGAATATTGATCCGGTTTACTTCTATTATTTGTATTATATATATATAAAACGTGTTAAAAAGTATGCCTAAAATGCTCTCAAAACACTAACTTGTATTAAGTATTTGTGGCTATACTTTCAAAACATAGCGGTTATTCTGGCCTTGACCCATAGACTTCCACCATCCCTAGTTTTTATGAACTAAAAGTCCAAATCAACAGTATGACACATAGCTTAACTTGTATTGAACATGTTGTAATCCATTACAAAAATCAGTGACCAAAAAGAACCGAATATGCATTGAACTTTATCAGAAATAGTAAATATTTTACTATTTAGTGCTGTATCATGGAGCACTTTGGATTTGCATGTTCTCTCACTCAAAAAGAGCAGAAGCACAATAATCTAACAGATTTTGTCCTTTATGTACACCACCAGAAGAAACAAAAGAAAGGGGAAGTCAAAGGAAAGCAAACTAAATAAAAAGGAAAGGGAAAAGGAAAAGAAAAGAAAAAAGTAAATCAGGAGAAAGGAAAGGAAAATGACAAGTTTGAAAAACCTGACTCACGGCAGGAAGTTCATCCTCTTCAAGCTGAAGCACAGCAAATTAAAATGAATATTACAGAAAAGGACATCAAAAAATGAAATAAAGACAAAGATGACTGAGGAGCATCAGGTCATGTGTAAGTCTTAATGCACAAAGTCACTTAGTTTTAAACAGAAAATTAAATTACTAGTGCACCTTTAATCACCATAATAAATAGTAATTTATGTTTATTTGATCTACGATTGGCTAATGCAAGGACATTCGAGAAAAAAAAAAAATTACGTTTGGAACATCATAAAGATATTTAACTGCATGCCTTGACCCACCTCCTGTTTTTGGGCACACTGATGCGTCTTCAATCTGTTACTGGCTTTTTCAAATGACAGCTTAGCTGGAAAACAGCTGATATTATTACGCTTGCCCATCTCTGTGAATATTTCCTCAAGTATGATTTGCTCTGAGAGTGTGAGCTCTTTCTCAAAGATAAGGACAACATATTTCTCGTTTTCATCTAAGGACACAACAGAAACGACCCGGTTCTTGACAGCTATAGAAGGGTGGGCTGGCAGATATCCTGGGAGGGCATTTTTCTTCGAGGTGGGGGGAGATATCGCAAGGGGTAAAAATCTAGATATTTATACTGAAGATATTGCTATATTAACTATATTATATGTACACTGAAAAAAAAAAAAAGCTTTCATGGGCAGCCTAGAATATCAT